GAGGTGGCGACCCTGCGTGCCCAGCCCTGCCCTCTCCCAGCCGGTGCAGGGGCTCCCCAGCCCCTCTGAGCAGGTGCTGGCAGCAGGTCCAGGGCCCACAGGCCAAGGCAGGACAACGGTCTTGATGATGACAAGACATCGGGCACATCAGAGCCTCGAGGCTCTCCCAGCCCGGGTGGCTCCTTTCCTGCCCACACCTCACAGACCAGGGGCCGGGCTGCAGCTGCCTGTGCTCTGACCCTGGCACCCCACTGCCCCCTGCTGTGGTTCAGGGAATGTGGTGGCCCATGTGCGTGTGAGTCTCCCAGCCCCTCCGCACCGGTTTCCCCATCTGAGAGACCGCTGGGCTGGGAGAACAGCCGCAGGGTGGTCTGCCAGGGGCCTCGTGCTGCCCCCCAGGCCCGAGCACCCCCGGTGCCTCCCCAGGTGGTGCCAAGGCCTCCCTTCCACGGGCCGCGGGGCCCTCCCGGCACCACAGGGTTATATTTTCTCGCCAAGCTGCACAAATTGAGCGTCAGGAGGCGGAGGGGAAAGTGAATTAAACCAATTAACCCCGCTACCTGTTTTGTATGTCAACGTGGCGGCTCCCGTTCCGTCTCTCCCGGTGAAGGGAAGGAAGTAATAAGAGTAAGCAAATGGCCCCTTTAGCCCCATCGTGATTAATTCATTCAGCTTTGTGTGCTGGCAATTTGTACACTTCTGACTTGAGTAGCTTCTGAGCGGACCCCTGTGCTCTCACGGTGCAGAGGAGCAGGTGTTGACAGGTCGCGCCACCGCGCCGCGGCCCGTCCTGCCGCCGCCCTGGGGAAGGACAGGGACGCGCGGGCCAGCGCGGAGGGTGGGCTCTGTCCGGGGGTGGGCGGGGAGGCCCGTGACACTTCAGGGCCATCCAGTGGGAGGGGGACGCCAGCCCCCAGGATGTGAAAACGAAAAATAAAACCAAACAGAAAAGCCAGATGTCATTCACTTCAATGAAATATTTCATTTAATCCGGCGCATCCAAAGTACTGGCATTTGAACCTGTAATCAATGTAAAAATTATCACAGAAATGTTCCACTTCTTATTTATTTACACAACAAATGCTACTGCTACTACTATTACTATGATTATTCGTATCACCACTAATAACGATAATAATGGTGGTTTAGTAATAGTAGCAACAGGTAACACTTGTGCTTTTTATGTTCTAAGCATTGTCCAGGGCACTTTGTGCACATTCAGCAATGCAACGAGGTACTGTCATTATCCCCATTTTACAGATGAGGAAACTGAGGCACAGAGGCTTATGAGATTTGCCCAGGGTGACGTAGCAAACAGATGTGGAACTAGGATTTGGACCCTGGCCACGTTGTCAGCGAGCATGCTCTTAGTTGCCTTGCTTTATTCACTCTGAGACATTCACTGGCCACCACCGAGTGCCATGCATGTAATTTTTTGAACATAGGGACACACGGACCTGGTGGTAGCATGGGAGAGAGGTGACCCCGTGATGTCGTGAGAACAGCAAGGAGGTACCTGTGGCGTTTGTGAGGACTGGTGGCAGTGGAGCCCGAGCTCGGGCCCAGCTCCCCTGACGTCTGGCCCTGTGACCTGTCTGCCTATGTCACTCCTGCCCAGGCCCACGCGAGCCTCCCCCTGGGTCAGCCAAGCAAAGCTTGGAGCCTGCGAGGGGCCCAGGGCCTGCAGTGACCCACCTGCCCACTGTCCTGGAGCCCCAGGACACAGGCATGTCACTTTCTCCCTCTTGGGGAGGGAGTGCCCAGGCACAGAGACAGTCACACTGAACAGATGACGCTGGGATGCCTCTGACTCTCTGGAAACATAAAACCCTTTTGGCAAGATGTAGCCAAAGCCACCAACATTATTCACTCTTTAATGTTAGCAGGATCACCTACTGGAACCACACAGGGGCAAAGAGTAGCAACAGGGCCATGTCTGTCTAAATGGCATCTGAGCAGTGAGACCACAGGAAACCACCAACCTGGCTTTTGACCTTTGCTCTGCATCCCACTCACCTGGGGAGCTATTAGCGAAACCTTGGCCTGCACCCAGGCGTGTGGGTCAGGGCCCCCAGCCCCGCCCTGCGCCGCGCAGGGGCCTCCTGGCAGACAGGCAGGCCAGCTCAGCCGATGCTCTCAGAGTGTGATAGGCCGAGTGTCGGGGTACAGCCCCAGTCCCCAACCACACTCAGGACCTGGACACACCCTCTGCCCAGGCCACACCTCCCAGGTTCTGAGTCTGGTGGCCTGGGCTGGGGCTGGCCTCAGGATGTTTCCGGAGCTGCTCAGGTGGTGCGGACACATGGTCAGGGCGGAGAACCCCGAGCTCACGGCCATGCAGGTGGGGACTGGTTCCATCACTTGTCATCACAGACCCTTTGGAAAGGACACTTGCAGACATTAAGCATCAGCCAGGCGTATTCTGGGAACACAGGGCCGATGGAGAGAGCAGGGTGCACGGCTCCACGCCACTCTCCTGCCGCGAGTGGCTCTGTCGGAATGGTGGGGTCCCGCGGACAAGGGCGGGAAAGAATGGCGGAGATCTGCACGTCTTTGACTTGTTACGGTGTCGGTGTTGTGAGCAAAGCCGCCTTTTAATTTTTATCTCCGCTGATGTGGTCTCGGCATCGTTCACAGGGAAGGCAAGGTTAAAAACGCAAGTGCTCTCTGCAGCTCTGGCGCCTTTGAAGGCTGCCCAGGCCCCTCCCTCCTGCTCGTGCCGTGCAGAGTCGTCCCAGGGAGAGCCGGGTCCCCTCTCGTGTGACCGAGTGATGGCCTCACGAGCCACGGCCCCTTTGCCCGCACGACGTGGGTGACGCAGAGCAGCCGCGGCTAACAAACGCACCGTGCTTCCCAGAGAGGGCCATCCCCACCTGGTGCGCAAACCAGACAAGCCTTTTTAAGAAAGAGGTCTGTATTGCAGCACGCGTTTGGCTGTGTTCTTTGCCTCCCGTAAAGGTCACCCGGATAGATTTTCCCTTCCTTAGCATTGCAGGCTGCGAGGAGCGGGGCATTTCTATTCTCCCTCCATCCAGTGAACCCGGGGGACTAAATTAGATTCTGAAATTGAGTGTGCAGCGCAGTCGGCGAGTCGCCGTAACGGGAGGGTATTGCTTCTCACCTTGCAAGTGGCGAGGTCGTGATAATATGAAGCGAAGTGGATTAAAAATAAAACCAAAGGTATTTATTTATGACCTGCTCAGAATTGGATTGGCATCCGTGTACGGTGCATCTAATGGCGAAAGACAGCAGATTGATGTTGATGTGTCCCTGGGGACTTTTTGCCAGTGAAATTTGCTCCGTGAATTCAATTTAAAGGCCCACAGAAAGTATCCAAAATGCAAAAGGAAATGGAATTGTGGGCAGGGGATGGAAGCCCAGCAACTGCAAAACAACAATTAGAAGAGAGTCCTGGTCTGAGACTCTCGTGATCCGGGCATGGAGCGAGCAGAGCTGGGACGGGTGCAGGCCCTGAATCAGCAGGGGGGCCCTGTCCGCCTTCCCCACTCCTGGGTCTGACTCCACGTGACACGGGGAGGGAGGAGTAGGAGCCTGCAGGTGGCCCTGGAGTCCTGGGGCCGCCCTCTCTAGGACCAGAGCCTGGCGGGGCCATCAGCCCGCAGTGGTCACGGGAGGGCCCCGAGTCTCACCGCCGTGTCCCAGGCCCCTGCACTTTCCTTCCCAGTACCTGCCTCGGTCACACTCGGTCACCGTGCCTCTGTCAGGTCCCTGCTCCTAAACCGTGAGCTTGGAGGCAGTCCCTTGCGTGTCTTGCAGGGGTGACTCAGTGCCCCCTAGGCCACCCGGGTGGGGACATGGCCAGCTGAGGCCTGTGGGGGAGCAGGGGCTCCAGCACGGGGTGCTCCGTAGCAGAGCTGCTCTTCCCTGAAACACCAGGGGTCGAGCGAGTGACAGTCACAGGCACTAACTGGTGTGTGTCCACCCTGGGTGCCCAGTGTGTGCCCACCGAGTATGTGACTGGTGTGCCCAGTGTGTGCCATCACATGCGTGCCATCGAGTGTGTGCCTGGTGTACCCTGCGTGTCCGGTGTGCGCGCACCCAGCGTGCCCACCCGATGCTGGGTGCTGGGTAAGCGCTGGCCTCCGGTCCTGTCCCCAGTCAGCCCAGAAGCCCCGACAGGTTGGAACCGGTGCCCCCTTTGCAGAGGAGGAAGTGGGGTCTCAGAGAGTGGAGCCGTCGACGCAGGGCGCTCAACTAGACCTCGAAGTTGACACTGGTCTGTGGGAGCCCAGCGCGCCGCCTGCTGGGCCCAGCGCCTCCTGTATGAGGCCGGCGCTGGCGGCCGGGCTGGGCACTGACGCGCTCCTGGGCTCCTGGGGCTGGCTCCACCCTGTGTTCCCTGCACGCATGTGTTTCAGCCACTGGCCGTGCTGGGGCCCAGGGGTGTCGCCTGATGCAGAGGAATCTGTGCCTAGTGGCAGTTCTAGGGCAGCGGTGCCTTGTTGCCCGAGAGGCTTTAGGGGAGTGGGAAGCGCCGGGTGGAGGTGGCAACTCTGCAGCCAGGCCCTGGGAGCCGGGTCTCCCCGTAGGGGGTGCCGGGATTCAGTCAAATGACGTGCTGGGGCCTGACCTCAGTGTCTGCTCAGATGCCAGGGCCAGGCCACAGCCCAGGGCCCAGCCGGGGTCCCGTGGGGCACAGCTGCTGCCAGGGGCAGCTGCCGGCTGGGCACGTTTCCCAGGGTCCCTGCTGCAGGGCTCCTGGTCTGCATCGCCCCCTGCTGTGGGTCACCTCCTCTGACCTGGGCCTGTCTCTGTTTCCCCAGCTGCTGGCTGGGCGCGTTTCCCAGGGTCCCTGCTGCAGGGCTCCTGGTCTGCATCGCCCCCTGCTGTGGGTCACCTCCTCTGACCTAGGCCTGTCTCTGTTTCCCCAGCTGCTGGCTGGGCGCGTTTCCCAGGGTCCCTGCTGCAGGGCTCCTGGTCTGCATTGCCCCCTGTTGTGGGTCACCTCCTCTGACCTGGGCCTGTCTCTGTCTCCCCAGGAGCTGCTGCTCTTCCTGCAGAACCTGCCGACGGCCCACTGGGACGACGAAGACGTCAGCCTGCTGCTGGCTGATGCGTACCGCCTCAAGTTTGCCTTCGCGGACGCCCCCAATCACTATAAGAAATGAGCCTGGGCCCTTTCTCGGCAGGCCTCGCCGTCCTTCCCGGGCGGCGCCCACCCCTGCCTGGCTGGCGACAGGCCCTCGCGCCAGTCCCGGGACGAGGAAGAGCCTCGCGGGGCAGCCCCGCCCTCCGGGGGAGCTTGCCAGGATCGGTGCCCAGACTTGGTCCAGGGCTGGCAAGGACGGGCGGCCTCTGTTTCCTGAGATACCAAAGAGAGCCAGGGGAGGGTGCTGGCTTCTGGGCCCAAAGGTGGGTCGGTATCCCCCCTCGCCCTCCCCCGGAGCATCCTTGCCAAATGACCGCCTGCTGGAACCCCAGCCTGGGCAGCCCGAGAGGCAGAGGCCTGCTGCCTGGGGCCCGGCCAGAGCCAGGTGGTAGCCATCTCACACCTACTTTGAAATGCAAAAGTTCTATTCTGTTGCGTGAAAGAGAATAAAGTATAGGATAGACGACAAGCAGACTCAGTGAGCCGCTGCGCTAGCCTGGGGTCTCTGCTCCCGAGAGCCTGTCACTCCGGCCACGTTCGTGTGGCCGGCCTTGCACTTGGGGGTGTTTTACCTCGCGTGCTCTTGGTCCGAGCTTGGCTAGGAAGCCGACGGCAGGAGCCAAGCCCTGAGCACGCCGAGCTCCCGGAGGCCATGGGACAGGAGGCCTCTCACATTCCTGGCTTTCCCCGTCTCTCCTCCTTTAAAAGAGAGAGCCCCCCACCCCCTAGAAGTCCAGGTCAAACCGCCCACCATGAGGGTCGTCCTCAGACAGAAGGCCCCGTCAGGCAGGGGATCGCGGCCCTGTGACGAAAGCCCCGAGAGACGCACTTTTCCCACCGCAGCAGAGCTTCTCAGGGACTTGGGGTGCAGCGTGGGCCCGCTGCCGCCCACCCACCCCTGTGCGGTCCCGCAGGCCTGCTAGAGGCCCGACTGCTTGCGCTGCTGCGGGCTGGCTCCTGGGCTCCAAGCACAGAAGGGCCCGGCCCCGGCCTCCGCTGGGGCTGGATTTGCTGTTCCAGGGGCTTTGGGACTGGCCTTCGCGCATTCCCCCATCTGTGTCACGGGCCGCGTGGCCCTGGGGACATGGACACGCCTGCGGGTGGGGCCACCGCCACAGCCTGTCAGACACCTGAGCCCATGGCAGGCTCATGTTCTCAGTGACCCACTCTGACCCCCCTGTCCACTGGTCTGTCCCTCCTTCAGGAGCAGCCGTGCCCCGCCTAGGCACTGGGACACTGGGAGAGCCTGTGGAAGATGTGGACATCTGTGGTGTGTGTGTGTTCTTGCTTCTATAGGAAAATCTAGGGTCATTACATCTGGCATGGAAATGAGCACAAAACACTGAGCAAATGTCAGATGCTCCCACATCAGCAGCAGGGACCGGCTTGCCTTAGACAGATGGCGCATCCCACCCCCCCCCACCCCACCCCCCGCCTGCTGCCCCACCAAGGGGCCAGGGGCTCCTCTCAGACCAGCCACGCCGCCTCCTCCCCATCCACCCCTTTTCCGGATGTGGACCCAGTGACAGTGGCTCTGTGTGCAGGAAGCCCCTTCCCACTCAGCCGAGATCCACCCCGGGGGCTTCCCCTTCTGTGGCCCACGCTGCACGGCTGGAGTGCAGGGACACACACGATGCACACCTTGAGGCAGTTTGTTTTCCAGACAGAAAGGACCACCAAGTTGGAGCAAGTGCTGCGTGCATTTTTACATGCGTAAAGGCCAGCAGTACTGCACGCGAGGGTTTCGGCGACAGGCCCTGGGTCCAGCAGGTTGATCTGGACGCAGTGTGCTAAGACCGTGGAATAGAGACTCGGCGACAGAGCGGCAGCCTGGGCCTGCCATGAGAGCCCTGGTTCCTCAGGGAACAGGCGCCCCGGCCTGGCCTTGCCACAGCCACAGACAGTCTGAGCCCCAGGCCGCCGCGGTGGACCGAGGACCTCTCGGGGGAGGAAGGTGCACTTGTGCAGGTGGCTGGGGAAGGCCCTTTGCTGGCGGGCAGTGCTCGGCCCCTGCACCGGCCGGCGCGGGAGCTGCAGCAGTGGGGCGGGGGGCCTCCCGTCTGGCCGCATCAGCCGAGGGCCTGCCGAGGAAAGGGCTGCGCTGGGGGAGGTGCCAGGATCTGGGACCCAGGACACGTTCCCCTGCTGCCACCACGACGCACACTGAGCCCTCGCCCTGCACCATAGAAGCAAGGCCCGCCCAGCTGCTACTTCCCAGGGCAGCTTTCGGGGCGCCCCACGCCCCTCTGGATACCCCCGAGGCAGCTCCCACCCTGGGACCCTCCCACGACAGCACTTCGCTTTCTGCCACCTCGCACTGCCCACTAACTGGGCGTGGGGTGTGGTCCCGTCCCCATGAGTGGGCTGGTTGTCCCCCAGGGGGAAGCCCGTCCTCCTTGTTCCCCGAGACCCAACATCAGGCTCAGCTGTGGGTTGCCGTCTGCCTGGGCCTCGTGTTCCGGGCGCGAGCTGACCTCGCTGCTGCCCGCTGTGGTTGGCCAGGTGGAGACAGGCCGTCCCTCCCTGCGGTCACTAAGCAGGCCGTTCTCAGGCCGCCGCTGCGTGTAGAGACAGGCCTCCCTGGTGTCCCCAGCCCCTGCCCTGCACACCGGCCCTGCCCTACCAGGCCCACCCTCGCTTCCCGGCAGTGCTGCGCCTCGCCCCTCAGCTGCGAGCCCCACAGAGGATGCGGAGTGAGTGCCTGCGGCCACTTCTGTGACTGTGCCAATGACCTAACCCCGCGTCCCTTTCATTGGCAAGACGGGCGGATTACTCTTCTAGGAGAATAATATTATATACCCAAATAAATTCCAGAGAAGTGGATTTAAATATAAAAATTAACCCCGCTATACTCAAAATGAAAACACATGGCTATTCGTCTAACGGGGAGTGGAAAAGGCTTTCTGAGTGTGACACCAGTGGCGAAAACAGTAAAGAAGACTGATGACAGTTATCACCCATATGCACAATGGAAACAGACTGCCGTGGCCGCCCGGACTCCAGAACCTCAGGAGACAAAGACCAATGACAGGTGACACGCTGGGCAGCTGCGTGGGAGACGCAAGTGCCTCGGCACCAGGTCCTTGGGAATCCGTAAAGATGGGCACCGCACAGAAGACGGCCCGGAAACAGAAGCGATGCACGTGGCAAACTGTTCACATCACTGATGGTTAAAGAAATGACGAGAGCCCCATGCTGAGTGGGTCCCCACGCCAGCTGTGTGACCGGGCTGTAGCAGCAGGAAACTGATGCTTCTCTCCAGTCTTTACATTTTTTCTGAAAATTTTGCGGTGACTTTTTGTTTGTTTTTACGTTTAAACCATGACGTGGCACAGAAGAGGGGACAGCACGAACCTGGTGCTCGGTGAGTACCGCGAAGGCAGCAGCTGCGTAAGCCATGGAGCCTAAGTCACGGAGCGAGCTTGCCCGCACGCGGCAGCCCTGCCCGCTCACTGCTTCCCTGCATGCGCGGCTCTGACTGCTACACCCACTTCCGTTTGCTCATCTTAAGCTATATTAATGGAATTGTACGGCATACACTTTTTTGTGAATAACTAGTTTTGCTCAGCTGCCCGCCTGCGGGAGTGTCTGTGCGGCCGCGACCGTGCTCACTCTTTCCCGTTGCTGTGTAGTTTTCTGTCGTCTGAGCAGGCTGCAGCCATCCCCTCTGCTGCTGCTGGACATCGGGTTGCTCTCAGCGTGGGAGTGTCAGAAAGAATGTGGCCCGGAACATTCGTGCGTGTCCCTCGGTGGCCGTGTGCCGGCAGTTCTGTTCCGTGTTCGCCTGGGAGCGGGACTGCAGAGCCGTGTGCAGCGTGTCTTCCACGCTAGGAGACAGTGATGAACTGTCTCCCAAAGCGGCTTTTCCAACTTGCATTTCCACCCACAGGTTATGATGGTTCTTTTGTCTCCATATCCTCCCAACACTTGGCGTGGTTGGTCTTGGGCCTTCTTTCTGGTGGGTGTGTCCCATTGTCTCCATGTCCTTGTCCTCCCCACATGCCCAGAGAGTAGTACCCGTGGCCCCCTCACAACTCCTGCCATGGGGCAGCTCTGTTTCCTTCTTCCTGCAGCCAAAACGGACAGAAAGAGACCTGCTTAGGACATCTTGCTGTGCTATTATCATAAGCATTTTCTCATGTCATTAAAGTTTTTCAAGAACACAGCTTTAATGACTGCATAATATGCAGTTGCATGGATTAACATAATTCATTTATTCCCTTATTATACATCAAATTGCTTCTATTTTTTTTCCTATTGCAAATGATGCTGTGATGAATGTCCACATTTCTGAACACTCTTCTACACTAGATTTTTAGTGATCGGACTCTTCAATCATGATTGCTGAACACGTGAATCAGCGAAGCAGCCCCACCCCCAGCCCCAGCGGCTCGAAATCGGTGGCTGAGGATCTGCTCGTCTGGTTTCCTTTGGAATGTCCTAGGAAACACAAGCTTAAGAAATGATCTAAACGTTTAAGGATAACTTCTTAAAGAATAAAAACCGAGTGTACAACTTCCGGGCAGGGCAGGGAATGAACAAAATTGAAAAGGCAAGAAAAGTGGAAGGAAAAGCACAAAGATGGTGGGTGAACAGGAAGCATTGCCGCGACCCAGGCAAGTTCAGACACGAGTGATCGTGATAAGGACACATTATTTTAAATTCATCTTCAAAAAGACATACATTATACCTTTTAGAAACTCCATAACACCCAACATCATGCTAGTGACAAGAGATACACCAAAACCAAAATTTGTGTTTATATTTGAACTGAAAGTAGGAGGAAAAAAACATGAGGAAAATACAAAAAAAAAAGTGGTTGGGTAATATCTGTACTCCTCCCTAAATCATATGGGAACAGTATTAACAAGAGCTAAGAGGTGCTTCATATCCTCAAAAGAACCACAGTTGTGGACCTTGGTAAATATAACAACAGAACCTCAAAGCAAAGATTGATACAATTTTGAGGAAATACTGACCCTGATCCATAGTACAACAGGACGTTTTGACACATCTGCAGAAAATGATGAACCAACGGGAAAAGAACAGTTAAAAAATAAAGAAGATGGGCCGGGCGTGGTGGTGCTCACCTGTAGTCCCAGCTATTTTGGAGGCTGAGGCAGGAGGATGCTTGAGCCCAGGAGTTGAAGGTCGCAGTGAGCTATGATGACACCACTGCTCTCTAGCCCCTGCAACAAATCGAGACCCTGTCTCAAAAAAAAAAAATTAAAATCATAAATATAGAAGCAGAAGTTGTTGGAGTAGGAAAGGAACACAAATGATGGAAATGACAGACGGAAGCAAAAAGTTGGCCGCTAGGAAGGACTAATAATGTCCCAGGAGGGCAGGACCTTTGCCCCAGGGCAGTGGGTGTCCCCAGCAGTCAGAAACAGCACATGCTGAGAGTAGAACGGAATGTTTTGTTGAATGACAAACTCGTAAGGAATAAAATTCCACTGTAATGAGAAAAAGGAGGCAAAATAGTAGATGCCAAAGAGATTTTTAAATTTCCTAAGCATCAAGAGAACACAAAGACAAGCCATAGACTGGGAGAAAATAATTGCAAAACACATCTCTGGCAAAGGACTGCTATCCAAAATAAGAAAAAGAACTCTTAAAACTCAATGAGATAATGAACAACCCAATTACAAAATGAGCAAAAGATCTGAACAGACGCCTCACCAAAGAAGATACACAGGTAGCAGAAAGGCATACGAAATGCGTTCTGCGTTGAACTCACCGCAGAACTGCAGATTAGAACAGCACTGAGCTTCCAGTACACACCTATGAGAGTGGCCCCAATCCAAAACCCTGACCATGCCAAATGCTGGCGAGGACGCGGAGTGACAGGAACTCTCCTGCTTATTGCTGGAGACAGCGCAGAACGGAGCCATTTTGGAAGACGGTTTGGCGGTTTCTTCTACAGCTAAGCGTAGTCTTGCCATGCGGTTCAGCATTCACACTCCTAGATATTTACCCAACTGAACTGAAAACTTATGAGTACAGGGAAGCAACCCAGAAGTCCTCCAATAAGTGAATGGATAAATAAACTATGGTACACCCGTACAATGGAATACTCTTCAGTGATAAAAGAAGTGAGCTGTCGAGCCATGAAAAGACATAGAGGAGCCTTAAGTGCACATTGCTAAGTGGAGGAAGCCAGTCCGAAAAGGCTACAGACTGTGATTCCAACCACAGGACGTTCTGGAAAAGACAAAACCACAGAGACAGCAGGAAGATCAGCGGTTTCCAGGGTTGGAGCATGAGGACCCTTAGGGCTGGGAGACTGCTCTGTATGATTCTGTAATGGTGGATTCCTGTCACCATACATTTGTCCAAACCCACAGAATGTATGACAGCAAGAGCAAATCTAATGTAAGCTGCAGACTTCGGGTGACAGAGATGTGTCAATGTTGGCTATCGATTGTGCCAAATCCATCGGTGCAGGCTGTATATGGGGGTATGAGGGAGTGCTGTACTTTCTGCTTAATTTTGCTGTGAACCTAAAACTGCCCTAAAACATGTAGTCTATTAATTTTTAAAAAATCAAAGTGCATCCTGTGAGCAGCTTTGCACCTATGAATTTGGAAACCTGGCTGACATAGAAACTTTTCTAGATATATACACATTACAAAAATTGACTCAAAAAGAAAATAAAAACCCTGAATAGATCAATAATTTCTGAATAACTTGAAGGGGTAGTCTCAGATCTCTGCCTTTCCAAAGGCACCATGCCCAGAAGGTTTTACGGCATGTTTCACCAGACCCCAGTGATAGAATTTGGGGAGCAAAATAATGCATGAGACTGGGGTTCCTGGCACGTCTGGGGGGAGGGCGCCACTTGACCAGCTGGGGCCGTGCTGGGGTCTGGCCTTGGCAGCTTGCTGGGCCTCTGTGGGACCGTGAAGCTGGTGTCACAGTTGGCTTTAGATGTCTGTGCCCTGGGCGGGGGCTCCGGATCCCTGAGAACCTGATAGCCAGTGTGGGGGCTGTGGCCACGCCAGGGCCCTGGGTCTGGGCCTCGGGAGCAGCTGCTGGCTGCGGCTTGCCCCGGGCCCCCGCCCAGCAAGGTGTGCAGGGAGCAGGCTGGGGCAGTGCCAGGCCAGATGTGCTCACAGAGGGGAGTGACTGGCTGCTTTTGTGATTTCATTAATTTTTTCCACTAAGTATGCTGGCGGGGAGTCCACGAGGCCCCCAGGCCCCCGCCGTGTGCCTCGAGGCTGATAAAGCAGCTTGGTCTGTGAACCGCTAGGGCCGGGCGGCGAGGCAGGCAGGTGGGAGGGCTGCCCACACTCCTGTTCTTGTGGATTTGAACCCGATTCAGCTCTCATTCAGAAAACGGACCTCTGTTGCACATTGTTCTGGTTAATTAAAAACCTGTGACCATGGCCTTAGAGTTTAGCGACCCATCGGGGAGTAGATTTTATTTTAAATAAAAAGCACTGGGCAGGGGACTTACTGTCAAGAGAGGGTGGCACCTTCTTAGATGGAGGTGGAGAAATGGCTCGGCCAAAGCGCCACAGTGACAGCCAGGCAGGCAGGCACCTGAGCAGGAGGACAGGATGGAGCGAGAGGTTTCTGCGGAGACAGACACGGCTGACCTGGAGAAGCCTCTGGGACGGCCAGCGCCGCACCCCGGGGTGGGGGTGCACTGCGTCCAAGGCTCCTGGAGAGCCCTGAGGAAAGGGGACGTTAGATCAGGAGCCGTGACCGACACCAAAGCAACCCGATGGGCACAGGGGAGAGGAGGGGACCGGGTGTGCCCTGGTCGCTGAGTGGAGAAGAGCTGGGGACGCCCAAGGTCATTCCCGAGGACAGGAACACGGTGTCGGACGTTCACGCTCATGGCGGACGTGACGCCAAGCTAAGGTGAGGACGTGGACCTGTTCGGTCAGTGGGGAGAGACCCGCGAGCGCTGCACGGAGCAGGTGCGCAGGCAGCAGCCGGGGGTGGTGCCCACCTGCGGCCAGGTGTGGCTCTCAGGACCCCACCTGGGTGGTCCTCGCACCCTGACTCCAGCCCGGCAGGGAGGTGCGGCTCTCGCTGCTCGGTTTGCAGAAGGAAACCCCAAGCCTCGGGGAAGCCAGGGAGGAGCCCACGGAGGAGCCCACGGATGCCAGGCTCCCGCCGCTGCCCCGCCGTGTGGGCACGACAGGCCACACCCGCTGTGCGACATGCGGGCCACATGCGTGTGTGTGCATCATCTGGGGACACGTATGTAGAACATGAAGCACGAAGGGAAAGACGTGGCCCTGTCATCGTGACTGTGGGAAGGGGGAGGTGGGGTGAGGGACGTCAGCATCTCGTTGCTATCTCGTTACGTCATGTGACGATGTAACTCGTGCTGTGTGTCCATGTTTGCTTGCAAATATAATTGATGTACGTATTTGTGTATAGTTTAAGTATATTTATATATAATTACATTTATTATAATTTTTCTTTAGACTATATTTCTTACAACCTGATGATTCAGATACAGCCAGATGCTAACAGGGCCTAATCCCGGGTTGTGAATACTAGAGTCTTTGTTCGATGATCCCTTTTCTTTTCTGTACTTTTCAAATTGACTAAGAAAGAAAAAAGACGCGGCCGCGGCCCTTGGGAGCTGGGCCTGGGGCTTGCTGAAGGCCGCGGGGCGGGGCCAGGTGGCGGCCAGCTGCTTTGCTGCGCACAGAGGTGGGTGACGACGTGGGGACCTGCGGCCGGCAGGGAAGATGGGGTGGGGGACACTGAGGCAGAAGGCCCTGCCCACCGTGTCCGACGAGGGGGTGCATGTCGTCAAAGTCGCAGTCAGGCCCAGCCTGGAAAAGCAGAGCAGCCACCCCAGGAAGGGGGACGTGGTCCCCAGCCAGGCCCTGCGCCCCACCCGGCGCTGGCGCTTCCGGCCACGCTCTCGCCTGGGTCGTTCCTTCAGGACTCGATCGCATGCAACGGTCACGCTCTTCACTCGTCGAGGTCCTTCCCCAGGCCGCCGACTCCCAGGAGCAGGACTGGGTCTGTCTTGGTCACTCCTGTGTCCTAGGACAGGGCTGGGCACCTGGCTGGCCTGGACGGTATTGGGAGATGGAAGGACAAAGGCCAGAGCGGCCCAGGAGCTTGGCTGAGGCTCTCCGATCGAGGCAGGCCTGGGCGGACCCGTTTTCTGCCCCTGGCTTCTTCGTTCCTTCACACGGTGACCCTGGGGCACCCGGGAGGGTCCCCCGTCCCCATCTGTTGGGGCCGAAAGCCCAGGGAAGCCAGGCCAACTTTTATCTTTGGTCATTTCACTCGCAAGCATCTATTGGGCACCTACTGTCTTCCAGGCACTGATGTGTGCGGTGGCTGACGGCCCCTGGGGTGGGCGTCATGGTTCCACTCCGGGAGCAGAGAGCAGAGCCGAGCGTTCTCGGTCCCCACCCGTAAGTGAGTACGCTGGTGTCACAGCCACACCCTTCCCGCCCGCCAGGCCCTTGGCCTCTGCCGCAGGGTCAGGGTGGAGACAGCCGGCCGGGGTGGGCTGGCCTCGCTGTCCCCGGTGACCTGCGGCAGAGGCGCATCTCTGCTCCCCGCGCCAGGTTGCAGTCTCTGAATACTCGCCTAGTGACCACCGTCCTCTTGTGCCCACGCCCGGGCACGCTAATGAGGACAGAGGACCCACGGACGGCCACCACTGACCTGGCCATTAAAAATAATTGGCCGCCCATAAAGTGCAGGAAAAATATGTTCACTTTCGGTTTGGCTGGGAAATGTGAATTATTCTTACGTTGCCATAGAAACCAAGGTAAGTTTCTAACATCTTTCAGATACTTAATTTTGTGAGTCCACTGATGACCGTGGTGCACTGCTCAGAGGAGCAGGGGAGGGAGAGGGAGGGAGCGAGAGAGAGAGGATGGGAGGGAGGGGGAGAGGGGAAGGGAGAGAGGGATGGAGGGAGGGAAGGGAGATGTAGAGAGGGAGGGAAGGGAGGGAGGGAAGGGAGAGGTAGAGAGGGAGGGAGGGAGGGAGGGAGGGAGGGAAGGAGGCCCCCCTGCTCAGCAGAGACGCCCTCCCAGCCTCCCTGAGCCGGCAGCGCACTCGC